CTTGTAAAAAAGTTCCTCTCCAGATTGGAAGGCTGCTCTAAGGTCTCCCCTAAGACTTCTCCAGGCTGAACAAACCCAGCTCTCTCAGCCTGTCTTCATTGGAGACGTGCTCCACCCCTCTGAGCATCTTTGTGGCCTCCTCTGGACTCACTCCAAGAAGTCCATGTCCGTCTTATGTTGGGGGTCCCAGAGCTGACTGCAATACTCTGATGGGGAGGTGTCTCACCAAAGCAGAGTAGAGGGGCAGAATCACCTCCCTCAACTTGGTGGCCATGTTCCTTTTGATGCAGCCAAGGACATGGTAGGTTTCTGTGCTGCAAGCGCATGCTGAAGCCAGCTCATGTTCAGTTTCTCATTGAACAACACCCTAAATTCTTCTCCTCAGGGCTGCTCTCAATCCAGTCTCCATGCCGACCCACATGCAGGACTTTGCATTTGTCCTTGTTGAACTTCATGGGATTTGCACAGGCTCACCTCTCAAGTGTCCAGGTCCCTCTGGACAGCATCCCTTTCCTCCAGCATGTCAACCACACCACACAGCTTGGTGTTGTTGGCAAACTTGCTGAGGGTGTACTGTTATTATAGTGCTGTTTGCCAAATAAAGACAACTTCAGCTTTTACTTTTAAAAAATTCCAGATGAATTCATGACTGTTTTCTACAGCATTACAGAGGAAACTTCTATTGTGAATTCCCTGGTGATTTTTTTAAGTAATTTTTTTTTAAGTAATTCTAACAAACAAGCCATTCTTAAAAACATCACCCAAAATACTAAGAAAAAGACCAAAGTCTACTCAGGTTTCCCTCCAAAAGTGGCAGGGCTGTCAGTCAGTGTTGTGGGATTAGCAGAAGAAATATGTAAGCTTCTTAGCACGTAACCCCTCCATTGCACATATAATCCAAATGTGAGTACTTGATATGTAGGACAGGCTCCCTAGAACACTCCTCTTTGAAGTTGTCTATCTAGTAATTTATTTTTTTTTTAAAGACATTGAATTCAAACCAAAGCAGCATACCTGGGAACATTATTATTTGAATCCTCACTTTCATTTGCCAGGCCACCAAATAAATAGCACTTGTTGCCATATAAAGAAAAGCTGTGGCCAAGTCGAGGACAAGGTGGTGATCCAGTGGAAGGAGCTTGAGGTTTTACTTTTTTCCAGAGCCATCGACTTGCCTTAAAGACAAGAAAAACATATTCAGAAATACCTTTATAGTTGTTCATAGTCAACAGAATACAGATACTATTAAGACTTGTATACTTTCTGAATTATTTTTAAGGGAATGCTGGGCGTCTCTTAGGATATAGATATTAAAAGAGACAAACAGAGGCTAGCCTTTATAAAACATCAAATATTTTATACTTTATTCAGACTAGATGGAAGTCTCTTTTTCAAAGTTATTTATATTTTCTCCATCTTCAGAATCTATTCAAAGAGTTTATTCTTCCTGGAGCACAGCAAACCTCATCTAACTTTCCTCTGCAGCTGGCAATATAAAATGTGTTTGCTCATAAATATATAAATAAAGTAGTCCTCAGAACTGAAACATCTTCATACATTTCATACCTGCAATTCATATAAATCATTACTGTATCTTCCATATTCAACCATTCCTCCAAAAACTAGTATTCTGGTGCCATCACAAACAAATCCATGTGCTGCACAGCCTGGAGGAATATCTCCCCTTACAGCAGGAAGGAACCACTGATTTGTAACTATAGTAGAGAGGGGAAAAAAAAAAAAAAGGAAAGTATTTTTAAACACCTCTGCTTTCTAAAGAATTACCTTTTACCTGTAGATAACTGTGAATGGGCTGTTTAACACTAACTTTTTAATGAAAAAAGTAATTCTATTAAAAGAAAAGCAAATACCTCTATCAAACCTATGTTACTCAATTGGTAAATAAGCACAAGAGGTCTCTGTAATAAGTCAGTTACCAAGGGTCACTCGGCAATTTTAACAGACTTGCCAAAAAAAAACAAAACAAAAAAGGCTAATGAGGAACCTAAGTGCAGTTCCACACAAGAGAGATAACTACACTAACTCAGAGGGAGCAAGCCCTAGAAACAGAATTATTAGAGCTACAGGGGCATAGCAATGTGCCTGGAGTTAATATGCCATTGAAAAGCTAATTACAGCGTTCTGGGACCCGTGTTAATATCTACAGAGCACTGCGCTGATACATGGGAGAGGAGAGGCAAAGAGGCAAGAAACGGCAACGGAGACTGCCTGATCCAGCATGTTGGTGTTTAAACTGTTCTGGAATTAAAGAATTACAGAAGACACTGCCTCCTTTTTACTAAGCTTTTTGCATGAGCACAAAGAGGAAAAGTATGAAATTAGAAGCTATGAGTGAACATTGCTTCAAGGGATTAAGATGCCTTCACTGGGTGCCAGCTCCTCAGAAGTCATCACACTCGCAGCAAAAGCAATGATGACATCCCAAATTCAAGCAGCTCAGGTCATAACCCTGCATCCTAGCCACCAGAGAGAAAAAAAGGTCAGTTTGGGCCAAACACGCATCTGGGAACTGGAACAATCAAGTTATGATGCTTTTTGTCACTGCTGCAAATAGGAAACATATCCTTACTTTTCCTGGGAAAAAAAATAAAGTCATGTTAAGATTTACTCAGAAGGCACCCATCAGAACCTCTGTTCCGTTAGACAGTATAACTGTCCTATCTAAAAGCTTTTTACTCATCAAAACAGAAAGACTAAGAGATTTTTCTTTTCTCCCCCAAAAATGTGACTGAGCACAGCAGATCTTTAAGCTACATGGAAATACCTGCTTGGAAAAGCTCTATCAGTAAGCATTTTCCACTAATAAACTACCTCAAAAACATGTTTGTGCTGCCAGATTTTACCTCAAAAACACTCAGAAAAAATACCATCACTTTTTTTTTTGGGGGGGGGAGGCGGAGGGAAGAGACTGGGGGAAGGAGGGACACGGCATGATAAGAATATTTCCTTAACGTTCTTATAAGTTGGTAAATTAAAAGGCTAGTTAGCATGGTCTCACTTTCATGCTTTTGGTACACTGCACAAGCGGCTAACAGCGGCTGACTGAGAAGCCCAGATCAGTCACTTAACTATCCCAACTCAGCCCAAGCTCTGAAATCACACAGAAGTTTTCCAGCTTCATCCAGTATCCCGTACAGTAAGTGCTTAGGCATCTAATCTTTCACGAATAAAATAGGTCTTAGGCAGCTTCCTGTTTGGAAAGGCTCCCAATGCCAGCATGTTCGCTTTTCTAACCCAGATTTGTTTCAGCGTGCTCAGCTCTCGTAAACTGCCACCAGAGGGAAGAAGAAGGGGGCTCTGGACACCCATGGGGAACTAATGCAGCCTGCAGTCATTTAGCCGAGACCTGCCAGGGGAGGCTCTGCACCCCAGGACGAGGGACTAAGAAAGCAGAACAGACGCAAGGCACACAGAACAATCTTCCAGGTTCCTATTCTCCAAGAAAGAGGCATCATCCCCGCAGCATCAACCAAGGCGCTGCACAACCCCGGGAGAACCGTCGCCCAGGTGTATATCCCCGCTTTCCCCTCCCATTTCGGCTCCAGGCAGCTTTTCAGCATCCCGCCCGCCGTTCCCTCAGCATCAGCAGCTCAACCGTCCACGGCAGCCTCGGAGGACGGCAAGAAGCTCGGAGAGCGATCGCCTCTCTGTGAGGAGGACGGTGCCAGCGGCGGCGGCTGACAACATGACAGCCCCGCCGCTAGCGCTCCCCTGCCGCCTCAGAGCCCCGGCTCCGCCCGACGCTCTCCATGCCCGCAGCCCCGCCCCGCGCACCCGTGTTGTAGACATGCAGCTCATCGGCGATGCCCTCGTTGCCGCCCCCGAAGATAATGACCAGCTCACGGATGGCGACCGCACGGTGCCCATGGCGGGAGCGTGGCACCGGCCCCGTGAAGGAAGACACCCGCCTCCAGTTCAGCCCAGCGGCGGCCGCCGCCATCTTACCGCCACTCCCACAATGCACTGCGCGGCCGGGGTAGGCAGGCGGTGGGAAGGGGGAGCGGCGGGGTGCCGTCGTGGGTCACGTGATGACTGTGGCGGGGCGGGTGCCCGTTAATCTGTTGTCATCGTCTCTTGAGGTGGAGTTTTTATCGTGGGGCTCTTCCAGCCAGTTTGTGCCTGCTGGATGCTGGCCTGTCCCCCCTCGGTGGCGGGGGCCGCAGCGGAGGAGTTGCCAAGAGTGTTCCCGGCCAAGGTGGGGACTCGGAGGCCGCTCTGGGCTCACTCCCGGGCTCTGCCGCGGCCGCCTCTGCCACAGCGTTCTCTCCCTCAGGAGGCTCGGCCTTGCTTTGTTGGAGTCCTGTGAAGGGCACCTAGCAGAGGCAGGGCACCCGCCTTTGAAGTGCTGAAGTGCTCGCTCACCACGGCTGTTTAGCTTAGGATACCCAGCTGTGCCTTCAACCCCTCAGAAACGTTGTGTCTTTTAACTGCTAGGGGTAGGCGAGGTGTGCGGCCAGCGAAGTACGCATATGAGAGAGAAATGAGTTGCTGTTTAAGCGCTGAGGGCTAAGAATAGAAACGAAGGTTTCAGTTCTACAGTTAACGGCGGGTAATCTGAGTAAACCTGAAGATCTCATTCTGCAGGATGGAAGTTACTCTCTTTCCTGCGTGAGGGAGGTGTTAAATGAGAATAAAAACGGCTGAGGCTGAAGGAGATCTAAAGGTGCTACTGAGTTGCTAGTAATGTAAGCATTGCTGCTAGGTGGTCCCAATGCTGCAGGCTGATACACCTGTGTGCTTCTTGGGTCTGTTCAGATCCAGAGACACGGATGGGAGATAAACCAACAAGGGTGGATTTTTAGTGAACACAAGCTTAATAAAGTTTAAACAAAATAACATAGTACAAACAAATTATGAATCATTGTGCCCAGCTACATGAAGCTCATATCTGTATGTATAGCTCTTCATTTAATTTTCCTTAATGCAGCTTTGCAAAACCTGGATTTCTGTACGAAATCAGACACAAGTAATGCAGTTTGGCGTGTTTGAGACATGCAACTGAAAACCCACTTTTTCAGTTCCTGCAAATGGAACAACAAATTTCGTTTAAAATACTTTCAGATTTTTTAAACTTTGGCTGAATGCTTTTTAAGTTTTGCACTGCCTCATGCTAAAAATAGTTTAGAATTGAAGATGGCTATTACTCCTTTCTGTATTCATGAAAGTCCTGTAAAAGAACTGCATTATTGTATAGAAGGGGGGCTCCTAGAAGGGAGGGAGAAAATCTGAATGAAGTAAGTGGTGTAGAAATAAAACCGCAATAGCATTCAGGAGAGCTTAGGAGGCAAAGTATCAACATGTGCTGGTCGCCTTTATCTAAGATCCCTCTGAATCTAAACCAGATCTGTGGGTTCAGATTCCCCTGACTGCTCAGGGATTTGGAAATTACATGGTTTGGGTAAAAATGCATGTGCGGAGTTGAATTTTCCAAGTTTTCACTGGCTTTTGGCTTGCAGGAACTCTGCAAACAGACACTGTAAAAACTTTGGCATGCTGTTGTTTGGCTCTTGCACACTAGTGATCTGTTCACGTTGACCATAAAATAATGACTAGAAGCCTAACCTGCAACTTAAGCTGTTGAAGTAACTTCTGGAAGGTTTTGTTTCCTTCTCTTTCCCCCACCCCTTAAGACAAAATGTCTTAAGGGATTTGTTTGCAATCTGCTAGCTGAAGCTCTGAGGCAAGTTTGCCAGATCTGGGGCTGCATCATCATTCTACACATCTGGAAGTGGTTTATGGGCTCTCATTCCTCCAGTGCAGTGTCTGGACCCTGTGCTATTCCTCAGCAGCAGAGAGAGAAAACCAGCACAACTCCAAAGTAAACTTTGAAGAGTCTGAAAAAGGAACTGAATCTTAAAACTGTTACAGTGCCCTGTAAGGCCCTTGTGCGGGGGACTTCAAAGGAGGTTGATGGTCAAGAAAGCTTTGGCAAGAGTGCTTACATCTGTGGGCTATTTAGGATCCCAGTAAATAGCTCTACAGCTCTTCAGGAGAGAGGAGTCCCGAATACTGTGCTGCTTTGAAGAGGTAAAAAGACTAATTAAGCAGGAAATATCTAAGCAGTAATGTCACTGTTTCTGAGCTTTCCCTTCTGCAGCCCCTTATTTTGTTACAGGACTTGGCAACTGAGTTAGGGGCTGCCAGGTTCCAGGAACTAATGTCTACAGTCAGGGAAAAATGAGTAAGTATTTGCAGGGGAACAAATATTCCTTTCTTTCCTTAAAAATCAGTGGGTAATCAATCTGAGTTTCTGAGACTTAGGAATGCTGCAGTTTTACACTCAAACTTGTATGAGAATCTGTCTGAGTTTGGATCTTAAAGCTTAAAACATGGTTCAGTTTATATTGATTTAATAATTTCTGAAGGTATCATGAAGCTGTGGCTACCCAACTTTCTTGCCATGATCATCAGTACTGTTTGTGACTATCATTACAAGTGTGAATTAAAAGATAGTACTCAGCTCTATGGAAATCAGTGGAAGATTGTGATTTGCTAAAGTGGGGTTAGAAAGCTCCTCCAAGAGTACAGGGGGTTCTGCTGTCTCTGCTTGCCTAAATGAGTAAACATATAAAATGGTTAAGAAGACAATGCTCATGTGTAATGCATGGGAGAAGGGCTTTCTCGGCAATGGGTTTTGTTTTTTTTTTTTGACCGATAAACTTGATTTCCTGTCTGTAAATTAATGCCACATGAAAAGAATGGGTTGCTGGAATGTAGATAAGTACTGCAGATTCAAAAGAACTTTAGAAATACTCTTCTCAATATGATTTAGTTATCTATTGGGACCTAAATATGTGCAAATACAAGTAGTTTGGAAACAAAGGCACATCTTAGCTTTTTAATGTATTTTTATTGTCATTTAACTTTTTATTCAAAGTAGAGACTTATTTAGGATGCTGCCTGATCTTGAGCATTAACCAACGAGAAGCAGTCAGTTTCGTGACTCAGGTTTCAAGAATTCTTACTGTTCGTCTGCTTTCTCAGGGAGTCAGAATAATTTTTTATGTATGCATAGAAACCACTATATATCCTTATGTATGCTGTAATGTGTCCATATCTGGATGCATGGAAACAGGGAAAATTGGCTTCTCTCTTATATACAGCTACCACTGCATAAAGGTTAGATCACACAGTTGTATTTCCCCCTCCCCACACCCCCTGCACCAACTTCCGGTGCTGTTTCTTACTGTTGAGTTGTTTGGGGTTTTTTTGGTCTGGTGTTTGGTTGTTTTTTTTTTTGTTTTGGTGGGTCAGTTTTTTGTTTGTTTGTTTGGTTTTGTATTTTTTTGTTGCCTTTTTTTTTTCCCGTTAACAGTAGGTTTGGGTTCAGAATTCCAGTGAATGTAGTTTCTCTTAACCCTGTGTTTTTGAGATTCTGTCTTGATATCTCAGGCAGAAAGTCATGGCTACCCTTGGGCCTAGTTTAGAAGTACAGTTTTGGGGAAGGCTACCTCATTTTCTTCAGCATCACAAATAATGTGCTTAAATACAAGCCACATTGCATAAGGTCTTTCCCCCCCCAGTGGAAGTTTATTGCTGTTAGAGAGTATTTTCACTATTGCTCTGCAATTTTATGAGAATCTGAAAGATGCTGCTCCAGTACAAGATTCCCATATGTTTGGAAACATACTCCAGATTAGCATTTGTCACTATGTTTTAAGTTAAATCAGAGGTAAATATATTTACAAACTGCACCAGTGGAGTGTTTTAATACTTCTTTGTAGGTGATCAGATGGAATTTATTAAAATTATGTCATTTTCAGCCCCTTAGTATCTTAAATTAACATAAGTAATAGTTCTAACCCAGAATGTTAGTTATTTGTTTAGAAGAAAAGAGTTATTTACAAAGATAGAGTTCAGTTTTGGCAGGTCAGTAGTAAAATTTGATGGTGCAAACCCTTGTCCCTGATATAATTGCTAGTATTCACGTCTGATGTTAATGATTTTTTTTCTCACTCCTTTAAAAATTGTTTATTTTTATTTTACCACAGATCACAGTTCTCATCCAACAGGACACATGGCTCTTTTAAAGAAAAGTAAGACAGATTAAAATCATTTGAAATACCTGTTTTTAAAAGAGGACAGAAATGTCAAAGGCAATTTCTCATGCAGCTGTTGTTAACAGTTGCATGCAAATTTGTAGTTCTAGTTTTGCTATATTATGCTTAACTTTCAGTATACAGATAAGACTTTTTTTGTTAACTAAATCAGATCATTACAGCCATAAATCCCATTAATTTAAAATTACTTCTTGCTTTACTGCATGACAACAGGAGTCTGCAGTTTCCCACTAAGAGTGCAGGTAGCTGCTGGTTTCATGTGGGTTGTGGCCACAGCTTTTTACAGAACTCTGCACATTAACACTGCTCATACTTGCAAATGAGGTGTGGCCCCAAGAAATTTGGTGCTTTCATCAACTGTCAGGATCAGTGACTGAAACTGGACCAGTGTGTGCCTGCAGTTATGCACCCAAATTTCTCCAAAGGCAATGGGCTGTTTTCTCAGCTGGCTTAAATGGGTGTGAGTTTGGTGACATGTTTACCGTTTTCAGTTTATTCTCATGCCCAGTTCTGGCCAGTTGGCCCTTTTGATTGGAGTAGTTCAAAACTCTGTTCCCTTTGCTCTTTTGTACACCTTAAATCCTTTTTATAGTGGTGCCAAAGTAACAAAGTGTCTGGTGCAAAAATAAAAACCAACAAACCTGCCATTATCAAGGTAACTGCTGATGATAGCAATGTATTCCTTCCCTGTTGTAGTCAGCAAACTGTCCTGGTATGTGCTTATTGTTGGTTTATGTTGAATGACTTAAACTTGTACAAGACAGTGTGGTAGGAACTGCAGATCACAGTATACAGCAAGGTCTTCGCTGTTGCATGCTTTGTTTTGATTTTACTAATCAATCACATCAAAATAGTTGTGTTTTCAAATATTTTGGAACATTTGTGGCTTTAGTAGCATGCTGGGTTTCTTTTTCTAGATTTTTAGAGTTTTTTTTCTCAAATACACCTTGAAGATCTGAGTGTTGAAATTGTAAAAGAAATTCTCCTGTGTTTGAAGCTTTATCAGGGAAGCCTGAGAGAGGGAAAAGGCCAGGTAAAAATAATGAAATCCTGAAGTCCTGTGATGAGAAACAGCGAGCTAGTCAAGAAAAGAGTTTGGCTCTGGTAAAACTCAGAAAAGTATGAATTTCCTAGTATGGATAACCCATCTATATTAAGAGCTTGATGATTTCAGTGAGCAAGTTATCCATGGAAATCAGATAATTGGAAATTATTGCAATGGGGGAGAGATACTATTATGTTTTTACCATAATTTTTTTTTTTTAGCTTGAATAATGAGAAAGCAGAAGTTGATAAACACAGCAAATACAGGTTATGTTATGTGCTGGTTACAAATTGGATTTTGGTTTTTAAAAGGTGCTTGGAATTAGCTATAATACTGTCAACAAATTCTCCCTTTTCTTTCAGTTAACCAGATCTTACTGTTACTTCTTGTCTTAACTGTATGCGCCATTCTGTATAATAAAGTTCACCAAGTGCCATCTGCATTAAAGAATGAAACAGGTAAATGACTTGTACTTCTGTTTCATTTATGCTCTTGTTTTATATTCCTTATTTCCTCATTTGAGCAGTGCTTTTTGTCTTACTGAATCCTGTTTTCCCTGCAGTAGATGCAGGGAAAACTGTTGCATATGGTCTGGGATGCAGAATTTTTTCTTCTGAATTACTTGAATAAAATAGTAGGAGACTGATAGTGATGACTAAGAAGTGTCATTCTGATTCAGATTTTTATCCAGATGTCACTGATGTAGATGGAAGCTGGAGTATATCCTTATTTGTTCTGAACAGCATTGCAGTTGTTGAGTGGTAATAAACTTTGATCACAACTTGTCCCTGTGGGAGTGCTCTTAGCCTAGCTATTCATTTCAGATAGATAATCAGATCTTGACATGACTTACAGCCGAAGTTTTTGCTGGAATTTTTATAGTGACATAAACCCACTAGGGTTGATGTGGTTGGTCTGGTGGTAAATCTTTATACTAATAGCTTATTCACTGTTCCCAATATAAACAAACTCTGACTTGCTATAAACTATTTTTTTTTTCAGTATACTTCTGTTGTATATTAACTGTTAAGAGTTTAATGGTATGTTTTAACCAGTATAAATATATCCATATAAGTTCTGTAACTTAACCAGTGCTAGGGATAAAAACCTTTCTTAGCAGTAATGTGGACTTATTAAAAAACCATGTAGATGGGGCCCTCAGTGACATGGTTTAGTGGTGGTCTTGGCAGTCCTGGGGTAATGGTTGGATTTGATGATCTTAAAGGTCTTTTCCAACCTAGTTTATTCTATGATTCAATTTTGTTTAGACTTTTTTTCCTTTTTTATTATTAGCAACTTTCTGCTGGTATAAAATTTTGCACTATTTCTTTCTATCCTGCTTCCCAAAGAAGTGGAGCTCATGCAGTTGCACCATCTCTTTGACTTACCTCTTTCCTTTGATAATTTTGGAACCTGTTGTTCACCTTATACTAGATATACTGAGAAGCAGAAGTCTCAAAGGTATTTGAACTTCTTCAGGTTTCATGTGAATAAGCAGCTGCATGGATGACAGGCTGAACTGTGCCTCTGCTGAGTAGAAGATGCCAAGAACTCTGTTATATATTCTGTTTGGAGGCATCCAACAGTGAAAGTGCATGCTGTATGTGTTGCCAGATGCGGATGTGTATAGGATGTGGTAAGGAAATGGGGTGAATATGATATGATTCAGCTTCTGGAGCTACATGCTTGTTCCTGATATCCAGATCCAATATAAAAAGATTCTTAATTTTTTGTTATAATGCATAGTTTTGTTTCTTGTAGTTGATTTGGAAAGTCCAGAGGAAATGGAAGAAGAAATCCCAGTTGTAATCTGCGCTGCTGCGGGCAGAATGGGGGCAGCTGTAGCAGCAATCAGTAGCATCTACAGCAACACAGAGGCTAATGTTTTGTTCTACATAGTTGGGCTGAAGACTACCATCCCACATATTCGGTATGTACCAGCCTCATTTTGTTTCATGCTCTGGTTAGAACCAGGTTGCTGTGTTCCTTAACATGCATGTAGACTTTGGAAGACTTTTCAGGTGAATGTTTCTCCCTTTAATTAGTGCTATCCTAAGTAGTGCTATACCCAGTAGTAGCAATACCCAGGATTCTCTCTGTTTAGGAAATGGGACCATTTTGCCCTCCGCAAGGCCTGGTGTAAAAGGGTGTGAAATAGCCAGCCCATGTCTGTAACTGCCTCTCTACCTGCTGTAGATCAGCTGCAGAAAGTCTGGAGTATATAAGTATATACATGTTTGTGCCAGTCCCACTTTGTGAAACTGCACTATCATCTGGCACCGTGTCTTAAGCTTAAGTGTACAAAAACTTGATGTTTAAAGCTAAGTTCAGCTGAGAGGGCGTATTAGAAGTTATACATAGAGACACCGAAAAGGTTGTAATGAAAGCATTGGGTGTTAAAAATTGAAAATATTGTCTAAAAGAGGAGGAAGGTGTGAACCAAAATTAAAGCAGTTTCTTACCAGTGCTCACCTCTTCTGTAACCCGTGTACCCACATTTTGTGTCAAAGTGAAAAGCTGTAATGCATGGAGTTCCGCAGGGAGTTTTTGCATTTTAATTCATCAGTAACCTAGATAATAGTGGAAGATGTTCTCTATGAATCTGCAGTTGGCATGAAGCTGGAAAAGAGACAGCAGATATATTGAGAACAAGAGCTGAAAACAAAGTAATCGTGATGAATTGGAAAAATTAACTGTGATCAAATTCAGTAGAGGTAATGACAAGGTGGGAATAGCTGATAGTATTGGCTTGGGGTGAAGCAGGAATTGGGTAGCACTCATTTGAAAAACTACAGAATTATGTAAGGCATGCATCATAGTGGATATACACGTTGATCTATGTGACCACAGAAGATGTGAAAAAACTTTTTCTGATCTTGCAGACATTATTAATGCATCAGAAGAAATATGGTGGTTAGTTCTATCTAGGTACTTTCAGGAAGGATTTAAAAGAGCAGTCAGAGGAGAAAATAAGCAATGGTGTCAAGAAAGCTGACACAACAATGGGAAAATAAGTCTAAAGACAGTGTTGTTAGGAGCTAATGGGACAGGCATCTTGACGAATGTAAAACTGTGAAAGGGAGAAAACTAACCTCTGCTTTAAAGACATAGATAGGATAGGAAAAAATGGTCTTTATAGGAGGAAAGCCTAGAAAAATAGCATTTGATGCTAGTGATGGTGGAAGAGTTGTTTGGGCAACAGGTGGAGTCTGGTTTTGGCAGTGGGGTAGGATGTTTTGGGGGGTGTTTTGTTTTTTTATGTATGTGTGCAATAGCTGTTGACGGAAGTGACTCTGTCTTTGGACAGAATAGATCAAGTGTGCTTTCAAGTTCTGTTCTCCTATGAGTCTGCAAATTTAATACTGCAAGTACTTGCTACATACTCAGTATTTCTTTTACCGCTTCTTTTTTATCACAGAAGATGGATTGAAAATTCTAAACTGAAAGAAATAAAATTTAAGGTTGTGGAATTCAACCCTATGGTACTAAAAGGAAAAATCAGACAAGATGCATCACGTCCAGAGCTATTGCAGCCTGTGAGTAAATTAATACCACATAACAAATTTTCAGTGTTTTTAATGCTTACTAAAGGCTTTACAATGTACTAGAAATTCTGTTCCATTACATGGGGGTTGGGATGTAAGTCAGAGAAGCTACATCAGGTCCAAGCATTATGCCCTCACTCAAGAAGGAAAAGTGCACTATAACAAGCTCCTTGCAACTTAGCTGTCTTGCTGGGACCTCAGTATTTGGTGGGATAAACTAGGTGATTGGAATGTGTCATATCTTTAAGAATATATTTACAGTTTATTAGAGAGAGTACCTAATAGTGTTCTTTGTGCTTCCGTGATGCTGAGTTAGCTGCATTCTGCTCATGTCCATGGCTAATTCAGAAGCTAATGACTAATCTAAATATTACTCACTGGCAGAAAAAGGCAAATCAGATGCTAGAAATTATTAGGAAAGGAATATGGATTAAAATAGAGAACATTATTATACCACAATACAAATACATTGTTTTCCTTCATCCTAAATACTGTGTGCAGTCTTTGTCCCCTAATCTGGAAAAGATGTAGCACCACTGGAAAATGTTCAGGTCTGTTCGGAATGTTTATTCTTCCTGCCCTTCCCTGAGCCTTTGACACATTTAATTATAGAATTTCTTCCTTCATGCAAGGAATCAGTGAGTTAAAACTGTTTAGCCTGGAAATGTGACCTCTAGTGTGAAAATAAGAGGTCTGCAGAACTGAGTGACATGGAGGACTAGATGGAGGATGGTTGCTCACTATCTCTTCCAGTGCAAGAGCTAACAGTCATTGGATTAAATTAGTAAGAGTTACAGTCAGAGCAAACAAGAAATGTTGCACGATTTTCATACAGTATATCCACTTCTGAGTTCCCATGTACAAGAAAGTTACAGACTTACTGGGGTGAGTCCAAAACAGGGCTGCAAAGAAGACTCGGGGACTGGAGCATCTTTTGTATGAGGAGACACTGAGAGAACTGAGGCTGTTTAGCATGGGGAAGAGACGACTTATGAGGATCCTATCGGTGTATAAATACCTGAGGGTGGGACAAAAGGTAATGGGCACAAATTAAAACACATGACATTTCCTCTGGACACAAGAAAAAGCTTTTTATTTCTTTTTTCTTTAACAGTAAGGATGGTCAAACACTGGAGCAGGTTGCCCAGAGAAGCTGTTGAGTCTCCATCTTTGGACATATTCAAAACCTAATTGGGGATGGTGCTGGGCAGCCTGCTCAGGATGGACCCTGCTTGAGAAGAGGGCTTAATTAATATGAACTTAAAAAGGCCCCTTCCAATCTTAAGTGATTCTGTGAAGAAGCAACTATTTTGGGCTGCTTTGTTAGAGCCATAGTAAATAAAGGAGGGTAAATAATAATGGATTGAAGATACTACTAAAGCTGGGGAGGAGAAAGCAAATGATTGGTGGCTAGTCCTCAATGAAGAGAGAAATTTAATTTAGCTTAATTAGTTTGATTACACAGTTAAATAACAGTTTAATTGTTAATAGAGACAGAAATGTGAGACTTCTTCATTAAACAGCTTTCCCACTTAGTGTTTACCTTTTCTTCTGTTTAATAGCTCAACTTTGTTCGATTTTATCTTCCTTTGCTTATCCAGAAGCATGAGAAAGTCATATATTTGGATGATGATATCATTGTTCAAGGTAAGCTGTCATCCAAAAGACAGTTTCTAGTAGAATTACAATCAAAGGTATTGCAGCTTTTACAGTCATTTGGAAATATAACATATAATAGAAACAGAGGCAGCTGCTAGGAGTGTTGTGCTCAGGGAAACTACAAATCTGCTTGGTTTTAAAGAAAAGTCTGCAGAATGTCCCACTATATATCTTTTGAATTGTTGATTCTGATTAAAGTTGTATGCATGGGTTTCATTTTAACTTAATCTGGTGAATTGCTGAAAGATACGGATTTCACTTAGATACTACCATATTTATGAAGTATGTGACATGCATTTCCTGCTAGTATTTGAATTCCCACAAATGCTAAGAACATTAAGATCAGTGAATTTTTATTCTCCACAGCTTCTTTTGCACCTTCTTACAGTTTTTTCTCTTTAGTAGCAGATTTCATAACATCTGCATTTAAAGGGGCTGATACTGGTCACTTTATAAAAACAGTCTGCCCTGCCCATCTCATTTTAATTTGCAATAGACTTCATATGACAATTCTTCAACATGCATGTTTCCAGTGGCTATCTCTGTTTTTTGGTTTTGTTGTTCTCTCTTTCACCAATGGGCACCAGCAATATTTGACTCTCTGAAAGGTTCTGAAGTCTTCATTTATGTTCCAATTTCTTGAGCACTGCAGGCTGAGTCCACCGCTTCCGTATCTTTCCTTGCACCTACACAGGCGTTCACCAGAATTGTGATTGCTTTCAGCCTGAATTCGTTCCCTGGCAGGAGTCAAGGCAGTGCGGCTGGAAGAGGGGTGGTAGGGCTTTCGCTTTCCTGAGGGGTGTCAGCTTCTGTCAGCTGATAGCATTTCTGGAGCCACAGGATAAAGCTGCACCTAGTTTCATCTTACAGCTCATGGCAGGCTGCTGCATCTCCTGTCCCCTGCAGCTCCTGTTACTCGTGTCCTATCTACAGTTGTGCAGCTGCAGAATAAGCTGATTCAGCTGCTTGACCTGGCAGAAGACTAGCGGTACAAAAAGAAAGAAAACCCAACCCTTTATTTTCTTCTTCTATTTTCTTTTCCTTGCCTTCAGCCAGGCTGTCTTGCTCACCCTTGAGTCACGCAATCATAGGGCCCAGAAGAAAGGAATGAAGAAAGACATCTGGGAGCAAGGTGGAGGGAGAAAGCCTGTTCTGGCAGCTGCTCCCCATACCTTAGCTCTAATGTGAGACTGTGCTCTCCATCAGATGTTTCTGTAGTGGAAGTGAATGGGGTTCTGGGGGTTTAACTCTGTGATCATTTGTTGGTTGTTACTTTCTGCAAAGCAGTAAGAGTGAAACATGCTGAACTTGGGGCTCAGCCCAGAATTGTTTGGTTATTTATTTTTTTCCTGTTTTTCTCCTGAAAAACTGTTTTTTGTTGCTTTCTCTCTTTCTTTTGCTTTTTGTTTTGAAAAGCAGAAGCTGTTTAGGATCAGAAGAAAATTCTTGGCAAGGCATGTTGATCTTCAACAATTAAATGTCTGATTAGTTCAAATTCTGTTTCTCGGTGGGGCATGAATCCTAACCCAAGTTTTCCACCCAGCTGATGAGCTCAGACAAAAAAGTAAATAAATTCTGCTTATTTCAGAAGTGGTAGTTTCAGTGTTTATAGTATGGAGAATGTTTTTGGTTGCTAGTCTTTGAATGAACTCACCTCAGGCTGCTGGGCCATATGTGGCCTTCCAAGATAATTCTTATCCGTGATCAGCCCGTGTCTAGCAGGAAAGCTGTCTAGCAGTCTTCATGAATACCTGGGAATCCTAAAATTGGAATGTTCCTAATAACATGCATGAGAACAGAAGTTATCCTACACACTCTGTATCAGTGAAACAGGTTTCTTCTTACGCTTTTGACCTTTCTGCAACCAGGTGACATCCAGGAACTGTACGATACTAAGCTGGCTCCTGGACATGCTGCAGCTTTTTCAGATGACTGTGGTCTGCCTTCCACACATGAAATGGTTAGAAGTGTAGGGATGCAGGTAAGGTGCCAATTTGGAATTCTAAGGGTGAATATATTGGCCTACCAAATGTAAGGTGATTTGATATATTTTCCACAAAGTTCTATATTTTTTGGTAGTTTTGTAATAGTTTTACAATAATTGCAATAACTCTGTAATGCTCTGCAGTTTTTTCCTGGAATAATTTCAATACCTATTGTTCTTTAGATTCTACTAAATTATGTTCGCTATTTTGCCGTCAGCAGATCATGAGCACTTATGGAACAACTAATGAAGGCAGAATAGATGGTATTTCTATTAGTTGAATTGGGAATGAGACTTGGGAAGATGAGTTTACAGGCTAATTCCTGAGCTGAGTTCCCTAGAATTGTCAAAGTGCCCCTGGCATTACAGCAGTACAAGTGTGATATTACGTCATTCAGAATAAGCTGCAGAAAGACAAATGTATGGTGAGAGAAGAACTCCCATGGAATAATGCTGTGGAGAAATGAATTCAGTAGCTGGAAGTATCCTGCCTTTCAGCCTTGTGTGATGTAGAAATAAAGACAAGTAACCACCTTCTGGAAACTCATCTCTGGGAGGGCATATTTAGTCTCCATGTGAGTGCTAGAGATGCATTTAAGCTTATCTTTATGGAGATTCATATGGGATAAATATACTTTTTTTATTTCTTAGAACACATACATGGGATTCCTGGACTACAGAAAGCAAGCTATTAGAGATCTTGGCATCAGTCCCAGCACCTGCTCCTTTAATCCTGGAGTAATTGTTGCTAACATGACCGAATGGAAACATCAACGGATTACAAAGCAATTGGAAAAGTGGATGCAAAGAAATGTAGAGTATGTGTAGAAATCTAGCTTTGCACTTTTAATACTCAGTTTGCAGTTTAATTTTCTGGTTAAAAGCTCTTGAAAGTTTTATAGCAGTCTTTCTTTGAGATCTCATCAAGCAAAGTAACTCGCATTCCAAATTTGGCTGCTTCAGTCTGACCAGTTGTGTAACAGGAAATGGCCACCTGGAATTTTAGTCTTTAATCACAAACCATGCTTAATCTCTAGGGACGTTGAAAACACGTTGTTCTTGTTTTGGGTGACCAACCGCACTGGAGGTGAAACCACTTAGGATCTTCTCTTTCTGAGGTCTGTTTAAAGAAGGAGGAATGTTTCCCTTTTGTTTGTGTGGGGTCTCCTGTACTGTAACATCAGCCAGACTGTGACTGGACACTGTATTTCTTAAATACTAATAGAAACCACAATTTTTTTCTATACAGGAAAAAATATTGACCATGAATAAGTCATGACACAATGAAACAATTACTTTTTATTTTTTATGTTAGTTCACTGGTGACCTGTACTTGCAAACTTGACATTTATTTTCTTCACAAAGGGTTAAATTTAAATGTAGTAAGGCTGAACTGAAACTAAATAGCTTGTGCCCTTGGACTGTTACTTGTTAGTTTCAGAAATGAGCAGAGGACACACATAAATGGTAAGCATGTGCAGGAATGAAAAGCCAAATTTCTTTCTCTTACTCTGCTTGTGTAACATATTTTGACAAGCTCTTGTGGTGCTTTTTAAGAGTGTTTAAGATAAAAAACCTCCCTGAATATTGCTGGAAATTTTCTCTATGAAGTTCATTTTATACCTTAGTAACGCATTCATGTTAATTTTAGCTGGATTTCGAAATGACAGTGCAATAAATTGCTTGGCAGTCAAAACCCAGTTTTGAAGGGGAGGTTCACATCTTTTTTTTCTTCTCTGTACACATCTCTCAGTGCCTCCCACATTTCCTCCTCATGGGGCTGTGTGGTGGGCACGGAGCCCCAGAGGTGAGTGGCTTCAATCATATGCCGGTCAGGCGTTCAGCACACTGCTGCCTCACCTTACAGTGCCTGTGCTTAACCTAGCCCTGGATATATCACAGGATTCATAGGGAATGGATGACCTTCAGCTGTTTGTTTATAGAATCATAGAATGGGTTGGGTTGGAAGGGACCTTAGAGCTCATCCACTTCCAACCCCCTGCCATGGGCAGGGACACCTTCCACTAGACCAGGTTGCTCCAAGCCCCATCCAACCTCGCCTTGAACACTTCCAGAGATGGGGCAGCCACAATTGCTGTGGGCAACCTGTGCCAGCACCTCAGCACTCTCACAGTGAAGAATTTCTTCCTTACATCTAATCTCTGTCCTCTTTCAGTTTAAAGCCTATCACTAATGCCCTTGTAAAAAGTCCCTCTCCAGATTTCTTGTAGACCCCTTCAGATACTGGAATGCTGCTCTGAGATCTTCCCAGAGCTTTCTCCTCTCCAGGCTGAAAAATGTAATTGGAATTTGTCAAAATTGGAAGTTGATTTATGGGTCTAAAAGCTTAAGAGAGGGGAAGAGAGGGAATGAAACACATGGAAACATGTACATTAAGAAACAAGTCTAAATTATGTTTAATTCCTTTATGTTAACAGCTTTTTTCTTCTGTAAGCTTTATCAGCTGAGTAGACTGTTGGCAGTGTGTAGAAGTGATTGGTTTCAGCTGGGTCTGACTCCTATTTTTCCTTGTAGCAATGAGTTACTCAACAGGACTTGGAGTTGCAAAGACAAGCAATTGAGAGCAGTAGGAAGGAGTGTGCTGAAAATCAGTCTGTTCAAAATGAGTCTGAATTTTGACAGGGTGCTTATTTTTAATCTTCTGCCTTTGTACCTGTGTTTGAAATTATGAATATTTTCTTTCTTCCCTCCCTTCTCCCCCTTTTGCAGGGAAAACCTCTACAGCAGCACCCTTGGGGGAGGTGTGGCAACCTCTCCAATGCTGATTGTGTTTCATGGAAAGTATTCCACTATTAATCCTATGTGGCACATAAGGCATCTTGGTAAGTTTAACTTCCCACTGTTTGCAGTTGAAACTAAATAGAGTGGTCTGTAGGCTTCCAGCACAGGACCTTATGTGACTTTACCTCAGTGCCTTACTTCATACCTCAGATCCCTAATAGTCATTGAGTTGGATTGGAAAAAAAAGAAACAAATATCAAGGACAAAGTTACATGTCTGAAGACCAGCTAACTTGTGTTGTCATAAAGTATGGGAAGAATGTATGAGAGTTGAATAAAGTGAGAGACTGAAAAACAAGCAGACACTCTCTTAGGAGGTATGGTGGGAGATGGTGGGATGCCTAGCAGTGTTTGTCTCCTCAATGTTTTGGGTATGTATTTACCTTTTGCCTGGCAATGGTGAGTTATCCTGTCATAAGATAATGGCTCAGGCTATAGTAAAATGAATAGTGATTTTTTTTTTTAACCCCAGCTAAGTCAAGATCTTAAAATGTTAAGAGGGAGGAAACCTGTCTTACAACTGTCTTACAACCAGTTGTCTATTAACAGGTGGAACCACACTAATAAGACTTCTTAAACCCCCACTTGAGCGTATCTCACTCTATAGAGCCTTCAGTATGAAAACTGGGGATTTTTAACTTCTTTTTTTTTTTTTTTAATCTACTCATGTAGGGTGGAGCCCTGATGCCCATTACTCAGAGCATTTTCTTCAAGAAGCAAAATTACTTCATTGGAATGGGAGATACAAACCTTGGGATTATCCCAGTGTTCACACTGATCTCTGGGAAAACTGGTTTATTCCTGACCCATCAGGGAAGTTCAAATTAATTCGGCCTGATAGCTGATATGGAAACCACTGCACCGCACCCAGACGTTGGTTTGCAGTATGTAATAGTTTGAGATGCAAGATATTGTGTAGTTCACTGATTTTTTAGAAAGCTAAGGATCTGTTCACTAGGTGAGTGACCATCAGTTTTGTGTGCTTATGGCTGGAGTGACAGACTTTCATGTAAGGTGAGGAAACAAGTTTACTCCACAGTGATGTATTTTTATTAAATGTTTACAGAGGTGAAATTCAGTGCCAAGCAGTGTGGTTTGATGTAAAGCCTTTATAAGTAAGACTCCAATGTCTGATGGTAGAAACACAGAAAAGACCTTTATCAGCCCCAAATGTTATTCCAAGACTGCCAAGACCACCACTAAACCATGTCACTGAGGGCCTCATCTACACAGTTTTTGAACAATTCCGGGGATGGTGATTCCACCACTGCCCTGGGCAGCCTGTTCCAATGCCGATCACCCTCTCTGTGAAGAAATTGTTCCTAATATCCAATCTAAATCTCCCCTGATGCAATATGAGGCCGTTTCCTCTTGTCCTGTAAGTTCTTGGGAGAAGAGACCCACCCCACCACATTACAACCTCCTTCAGGTGGTTGTAGAGAGCGATTAGGTCCCTCCTGAGCCTTTTCCAGGCTAAACCCCCCCAGTTCCCTTAGCAGCTCCTCATTAGACTTGTGCTCCAGGCACTTCAGCAGCTACACTGCCCTTCTCTGGACCTGCTCCAGCACTTCAATGTCTGTCTTGTAGTGAGGGGCCCACAGCTGAATACAGTATTGGAGGTGTGGCCTCACCAGAGCCATACAAGGTATTTTTAGTTGTCTGGCCCACATTAAACAGCCCAAAATGAAAACGCACACACCAGTTTAGTGAGCAGAGTTCCATTGTGTGGTGACTCTGTTTTTCAGGGTTTCCATGTGTTATGCACCCTGCAGCCCATGCAGACCCCTGCTAGCAAGATGCAAAAGCATGTTCTGAGACACTGCAATACAATTCCTGATTTTATTGTGAAACTTTTGATAGTTTTAAGACAGGTTTAAGAACTTATGTATTACTGTAAGGAAAAGAGCACCAGTTCTGAGGGAGTACACACAGAATTGCAATACTTAGTGGAACGGTCATTGAACACTGAATTCTATACCTAGATAACCTAGTATCCGACTCCATTAAAGAGAAGGCCTTTCCCTTCCAATCAAACAGGAGAGCCTTACAGTAGTGTTACCCTACTGTGCTACATACTCAGAAGTGCTAATTACATGCTTCTAATTCTGTTGAAAAATAAAACTGAATTGTAACAAATCCCTGATGCAAGATACTTTGAGCACCTGTAAGAAAATGTCCTTGTAAACAGCAATACGTGATACAGTACACTTTAAATAACAGACAAGACAAGCCCCATGCCTTTTCGACAATATAGTGGACAGCTTTCTGCTGAGGTTAATAAACACGATCAGAATCATAATGCACACTTGCTTGATTTAAGACACTCAGAATTAAGCCACATCATTTGGGAAGAAACTGTAAACATTGTGCCCGCCTCACAACAGGCTGACAGTGTGTGATCTCAGTGAGAGCTGTTACAGCAGGTTTAGAATCTACACTAACTCGTTATGCTTGATGCATGACAACTGTCACTGGCTGCGAGGAAAGGACAGAAGACACCAGTTCAGGAATCTCTGACCAGTGTGGATTGTGGAGATACTGTCTGTGTCTGTTTTTCAAGTATGTGAAGCACCTATTGTCATAAGATCATCAAAACTTCAGTGTTTTGATCAGCTTATTGCTTTCACTTCATTTTTTCCTCACATGGTAAAAGAGGGAAAGAATATGACGGTTAGGCACAAGCATGGAGTTTCATTTCTCTCTCAGTCATTAATATTGGCCAAAAAGGTGTACTGTTTAAGCAAGTTCCTGAGAAGAAAGCTGGAGTTTCTACAGATGGCTTCTCGTTCATAGAACACCTGCCCTTAGATTTAATTCAAGGAATAATGACAACACCCTTCTTCCTAAGGTCTTACAGACTGAAGAGAACCGGATGTTAAAACTCACTAAAGCGCAAACCTCTTTCACCCTGTGCTAACTGTATCTGATGTAAATGATGCAGCTTTATGTGATTTTTACAGGGAGCTTGATTTTTCACTTCCCTTCGTGGAATCTGTGCAAAGGGGTTGTCTCCTGCTAAAGGTCAGCTGAAGAGACTAATCCCACAGATATCACTGAGAGTTAAATGCCACAGAATTCAAGAACCACTGTTGTTCATTTTTTTAAAGGAATTCCAGTTCCTTACATTGGAATTTAATGTGGGAAGAGATGGAGTGCTAGGGAACCTTACCCTAAAGACAGCTTAGCCCTGTCCTGTGCAACACAAATTCCCCTCCAAAGTGCTGTGACTTGAGATGATGTCTTCGCTAACGTTAATCCTGAATAGACAGAGCGCTCTCTTCCCACACAGAAAATACACTGCAGAATACAACTTTCTGCACTAAGAAGGTAAAAGTTAGACTTAAAAAGCACAGTTTGCTTAACTGTGCATGATTAAAACCACCATTTCATGTAAGATAAGAGTACATTTCCCATTTTCCCCTCAGGACAGAAAAGGATTATGAGAGATCCCAATATTGAGGCATCAGCATACTGCTGTTGTTACAACTATGTTATGATTCATGGAATGAAATTAACGCCCCAAAGAAATCTTCACAAATGAGAAACCCTGCAATAAATGGGATACATTAAATATAAAACTCATATACAAAAAAGGGCTAACTTTTTAAAAAGCTCGGACAGTTCCTTAAAATTCTCTAGTTCATTGATTGGAGCTACCACACACATACTTGGGACTAGAATAAAATAACTAGGGGAGATAAAATCCTATTCAAATGCTTCAGTTGGAGAACTGAGGTACCAATCTTGAGCACTGCATTAAAACTGCAGCAGGTATGCATAGCTGAGAAGACACAGCTCTTACATGTTGCTTCCCTCTTCTTCCTGTGTCACACCAGCATTGAAGTCTGGAATCTGGTCTGCAAAGGACTGCGTCATCCATTGTCCATTAGGAACTTCACCAAAGGATGGCCCCTCACAGTACTGTGGATCACCTGCAGCCAAAACAAACACAAACAGGAAAACACAGCTTGTAAAATGCAGTTGATGGCATGAATTATTTATTCATGAGAAAGGGTTTAGAGACTGAATGCCCCAAGTTCTTTACCAGTTCCATTTGAAGGGAAAGTGCAGTGTTCGCTTTCATAGGGCGCACGGTCACAGTAAGCTCCTCCATATGCTGCCTCATAACCTGGGTCGTATTTCTCTTCTTTGACAGCCATCTTTTTAGCATCCTCTGCCGAAAGAGAAGACCTCAAGTATTAATATGCAGATTAAAAATGATCAAAGAGCATTTTTAGCAGAGAATACTTGACAAAACAGCCACACATTCTACATGATAATCCCTGCTCCCCCCCCAGATAATTAAGGCTGTACTAAAAAGACAGTGGAATCCATAATTCTATACTGCATGCTTTAGAGAACATAGCACATCTCCCCCCTCTCCTTAAATTCTTAATTTCTTTTTGCTTGGGAAACTGCTAGTTGTGGTGTATGGTACACCATGTTTTAATAAAGGATTAACAAAATAAGCACTATACCTTGTGCAAGTTGCAAGTCGAAGGTGTACCGCACCTCCTGCACCTCTGTGTTTGGTGCAATGCCCTTCAGTTGATCCCTCAAGTCTTTCAGCTTTATGTAATAGTGAACTTTATCTTGTGCACGGGGAAACTGAGCACATCTCGCACTGGATGATGGCATAACGTAGCAGAGCTTGAGACAAAAAGCAAGAGAAATAGTATTAATGGTCCCTGAGCTAAATACCCTGAGTTGGTATTTAGTACATCGAGAATAACGTAACAGCTAGCTTGCTGCATTAACCCCTTGCACTAACTTCAACTAATATACTGGCAGCTGTGAAAGAGGATAAAAGGAGTCTTTCATTTTTCTTGGCTAGCCAGAAGTCTTGCCCTTAAGGGCTGATGACCAGCTGCTGAAGCAGGACAATTCTCACCAGTTGTTTCTGTGCTGCAGGAGATGTAGTAGCAGTATGTGTTATGAGAAGTGCAATTTATAAGTGCCAGAGAGCGGAGCGCACTGCAGAGCTCTGAGCCAGCAAGCCTGCAGAGGAGTACAGCATGCAAACACTCCATACTAGCAAGGGAGGCATCACAGGTTCATCAGCCTGGCTTCTTGGCCAGGCGCCTCTGCATCACACTTGCCAGGGTTTGAAACTCTGGAGTTAGAGTGACTGAAGCCAACTTAAGTGTCTCTGTCTCTGCCAATTGCCCTAAACTAATGGCATACAATTAGTTCAGGAAAAAGGAACTGTATCCAATATTTTTATTATTATGCAGTATTTATGAACATGTACTAGTAAAAAGGATTATTCATCTTTCTTACAAATACATCTACTGCAGAAGTCTTTAAGAGCTACTTAAGAAGCAAGCACTTAATCAGCAATGGTTCTTCAGGCTCCGATAGCAACACTTAACTTTTAAAGCCGCACAGCTTAAACTGAGCTCTTAAACTTGCAGCACCAGTAATCTGGGACAGAAATAAAAACAACCCAAACTTTTGAACAGACAAGGTAATGAAGCTTTGCAACAAGCTACGTTGGCAGGTCGTGTAATTGCCTTTGCCCTAACTGCTTTATAAGAAGAAGTTAGACAAACATATCTGTGATGAGACATAGCTGATCTCGAGATACTTTCCAGCACTAGATGTCTGTGACTAATACATTCTTCATCAAACTGCTCATTTTATATCTTAAGTGTTTAATTTAATTTCAAGCTGCAAATCAGCTGAAGAAGACTGAGTCTGATGGAAGTGCTTGGGCACACCCAGATGCAGTAAGGCTGGAGCTGTAGTGTGCAATAGCACCATGCTCATCTTTAGTATCAAAATTCAATAATACAAACATAACAGGGCACTGGACACAGATGATCAGATGATGTAGATGACAGTTATGATAAAAAGTATGTTTTGTTCATATTTTAGACAGGCCTCACAGAATGCACTGTCCTACTAATCCTCATACACTACTTCCCAAATAAAGCCTGTAACTCTAAAGAAGCTGCATAAGAGCTGTATCTGAAATCTGCACTATTCCCCTTTCTCTGTTTAAGTCTTTCCCATCCCTTGTACTTTGGGCAAGCTTTGATGTTATCCTAAGTGTGTGAAGTCCTGAGACTCTG